GTGGGAAAACCTTTGCAAATACTTCTAAGCTTAGAGATCAGAATCAGATGCAAACACCAGTGGAGCCAAGAGAATGCTGTGTGTGCAAAAGTGTCTTTGATCAATCTTTTAAACTTCACATGCATCTGAACACATGCACAGAAGATAGAGAAGGCCCTGCGCTGTCTGTCGCAGCACACGTATATTCCTGTCACTGGGAGCACGGCCCAGGCCGTCACTGGCGTTAAGAGGGAGGACGGTCCGGTAATGACATCACATCGTGCTTCCAGGCTCTGGCTCTCGCTGCAGAGAAATGGGAGGGATGAAGATGTGAGTGTGTACAGGCAGGAGTTGTTTTAGTGACATTTGTGAAGAGCCTGAGTATATAATGATTCCTGCAGAATAGGTTTATTATAGATGGGAAACATACGTTAGTAACTATTTTAAAGAATTAAAATATTCACATAATATGAGGTCATGAGGAAAATAACTAGAAATCAACAACCAAAGATAATATGGAAAGTGCAGAAGTATACACATTGGATCAAACGCTCTTCGTTAGCCAGTGAATCACAAAAGCAATGAAAAATTCCTGGATGCAAATGCCACAGCGCAACGTGCGGCACCTGAGTAGCTAACCAACACAGCACTAAGAGGAAGGCCTGTAACGGAATGATCAGTGCTCAGACCTCAGAAGAAATTGACATGAGCAAGTAAGTATGTTTGTCAAAGTATCCACAAAACAAGAGTAATCTCAACCAAAAATTGATATGAAGAAAAAAATTGTACATACCAAAGGACAGTAATGTAAAAGGACAACAAAAATTAATATAAACAATCACTGAATCAAGCAGCCCTTTCTTTAAAAGGGTGAAATTTCAAAATTTTCAAACATGAAGAAATTCACTATGATAAGTTCATTAAATACACAACTGTGTTAATTGAATTATTAAACAGTAACTTTCTACCATAAATTTTAAAATATCCCGGGGCCAGGGAGATGGTTCAGTAGAATAAGGGCCTGAGTTCAATCCCTGGCCCGCCAAAAAAAAATCCCATCTAAAACTCATAACTAGAAGTTAATTAATTGGAAAGATTTAATATACAATGACTCAGTTAACCATATTTGCAAATTCTGGGTGGATATAAACGTGGAGGGCTTCTGAAGTATATATGGGAGCTTTTGCACTAAGTGAGTGTGGCCCAGCCCTGACCGCACTTGGGTTTCCCAATCCCCAGCTTCCCTCTGCTTCACGGGTGTCCTACGCACCTTCCTCCTGAGGGTGCAGGCAGGACGGCTCTGCTCACCTGGAGTGTCTCTCATGTACTAGCAGTCAATGGAATCTGAAAATGGAAACATAAACTTCCCATAAAGAGAATGGATCCATCTGACAGATTCCACAGAAAACTGATCAGAAGATGGAAAACTGCCCTCCTCTAGTGTCCTATAGTGATGTTATCTCTCTATCACTATCTTAGCCTGTGTTTTACTAGCACCTAATATGCTTTCTATGTGATATTCTACATAACATTTAATAAAATTTGGTATATTAATAAAAAAAAAAGGAATAAACTGAAGAGGTCCCTCACAACTGACTCGAGCCCCAAAAGCCAGCTAAACTTGGAAAACACCAGATAAAAATAAAAGAGCCATAAAGACACTGTCACGGTCCCTTTGTTCCTTTTGCTACTTGTGGGCACCATGAATTTTTCTCTGTAATGGCTCTGTGTCAAGCAATCCTGCCTCAAAGCCAACCAATTATGGACTGAAACCTCTACAAACTGAGAGCTAAATAAACCTTTTCCCCTTTAGCTTTGGGTGTCAGGTATTTTGTCATAGTGACCAAAAATGTAACTAAAACGTGCCATAAATAATTTAAAAGAAAGAGATTAAGTTGAAAGTAGTGTAAGGGGTGTACATTTATAACAAAATTCATATAAACTTCGCATGAAGAGTGGGAAATAATGATAATGGCTTGCATTTCCCCTTTTGCCCAGGGGAAAAAGGTTTTCCAGGATCTCTAAATTAAATTCAAAGTTCAATTGAAAGTATCATCTTTTGTTAATTATTGACAAACTTGTATTCTTTTTTTAAAATTTGGTTACTCCAATTCTTATTTTTCTGCCTTATGATTATTTCATCATGTGCATTTCATAGAATTGAGGAATAGACTGATACAAGCTAAGCCCTGACCTGAACTCCTCAGACCTCATTGTCCTCTTGATAAGCCCTATGGACTCTCTCAGGTAGAGGACATCTCCCTTCACGAGGAATGTATCTTGCCAAAGTTCTGCCATTGCAATAGAACAAGTATGCCAAAGAGAAAATACATTGCATGAAAACTTGCAAGTGAATGTCACACAATAAGTTCTCTAGTGGCATTTTATGTACTGAATCCTTGGCTGTATCTGAGTCTACAATAGTTGTGAGCTGGACATGGTAGTGAATTCCTGTAATCTCAGTACTGTGGAGAGCTGAGGCAGGAGAACTAAAGGTTTGAGCCCCGCTTGGGAAATTGTGTGGTTTAGTGAGACCCTGCCTCAAAATTAAAAATTGATAAATAGATAAAAGTAAATCAGTTGTGAAAGTACTAATTCCTCCAATGTATAAGCCAACCTTAGTGCAGAGATCCAAGGGCATCCTTAACGTGCCAAAATGAAAACTATGTGTTTACAGGAGTCTGTGTTAGTTCCAAAGGTTAGGTGTGAGACTTTAGGATTCTGATAGAAAACTGGGACTTGGAAGGGTGGATTTTGAGGATCCCTGGGAGACACAGCACTGGAACAGGCTGCATGGAATTGACATAACACGTACATAAAACGTGTAACAAAGTCCACGGAAGTGGGAAGGTTGCCACAGTAAACTCCCTCCTGTAGGATGGGAGAGTCTGTTCATTTGTGTTGCCTTATGCTTTACGTAGATCCTTGGTTCTTCCTGAACTCAAGAAGAGTCTCGCCAACATGGATCTATTTGTGGGACAACTCAAGTGCTACAGGATGTTGACTGTGGGGTTGACCTTTTTGGTTTGGGTGAGTACTTCCCTTGCCTGCATTCTCTCTTACTGCTGTCTTATCTTTTCTCTCCATGTACAACTTCAGATTTGGATTGGTTAAGTGCCTTAAACTAGGAAGGGGACTCAGAAGAGCCCTCAGACCTCTTACCTTGACCCCTGTGTGATTCCAGGAGCAACAGTTGCAGGTGGGGTGTCAGTAGGAGGAGGCTGAGCAAGTTGGTGGTTGAGGTCTATCTGGCATCTAAAACTTAACTTCAGAAGAGGTTGTTCTCAGGAAATTCTAATGAGCAATTTACATTGTCCTTTTCTCTCTCTTCTTTGGAAGCTATGTGCTTTTTAGCAGGCAGAAAAAAAGAGGCAGGGAATCAGAAAAATAAAACCCTCCAATCTAGAGAAAGTGACCAATTTGCTGTAGTGACTGAGCCTTTGTGGATTTTGGGGGGCTATTTTTTTCAGTATTAAAACCAAGAACCTTATATTCATATAATTAGAATTCTCAAAGTAGAAAGGGGTAGGCAATAAATATTTAAAGATTTCTGAATTTAGTTCAACTTATAATACCGCATTTCTTTGTGGATTTTTTGAACAGCAGCAAAAGCCAAGAAGTCTTCAGGAACAGCATTTTCTTGTCTATCAAGCAAGAAGAAAATTTCAACAATAGACACTATTTAAACTCATGTATACAATAGTTGAGTGAGTTGCTGACATATAAACAGTAGGGTTTTTGTATGGAAATAACAATATTTTTACTCTTTTTTTAAAAAGTGGATAATTTGGACGATAGTTTCAAACACTGACCTTTATTCAAGAGCAGTGAGTTTAATAGGTAAACCCTAACTCCTTAACAATCAGGTCTAACTTGGCTGGCAAGTGCAAGGGCCTGAGTTCAATCCCTGGTTCTGCCAAAACAAAACAAAAAAACCAATCAGATCTAAGGAAAGTATCAATATAATTTCCAGGATAACTTCCTACTGCATGAAAGGGTGAGATTTCTTTGTATAGATGCCAAAACTTTCTGCTTTTTAAAAGAAGTTAAACTATAACATTCATAAAAATACATATAAAATCATAAGAGCTCATTGAAAATCAGACCACACGTTTATGTGACCACAGTCCAAGTTAAGAAATGGAAATTTCCATCGCTCTTAGGGGCCCCCTCTTGTGTTGCCATTCCTGTCACCACCACCTTCTTGAGCATAACCAGTGCCTTGACTTTTGACATTATTGTTAATTTTTGCCTGTTTTTGAATCTCATAGAAGAATAACCATATACCATCTACTTTATGTACAAAATATTTTTGTAAGATTCATCCATGTTATTTTGCAAAGATGTAATTTGTTAATTTTTATTTCATGACAGTGTTTTAGTATATGAAAATATCAAATTATGCATCCTGCTGTTGATAGTAATGTATATTGTTTTCAGTTTTGGGCTTAGATATTGCTATTATAAACAGGTATACTTTTCTATTGGGTATACTGTATATTACACTTATGAGCTAAATTGCTTCATCCTAGATTATGTATATGTTAAACTTTAGTAAATACTGAGAGTTTTCCAAGTAATTCTTCCAATATGTTCTCTTCATACAATATGAGAGATTCAGTGCCTTCCCATCCTCACCAGCACTGTAATTGTTTGTTATTTAATTTTATCTTTTTTAATATGTACAGATACTCTGTTATGGTTTTAACTTGCATTTATTTTTTTACTAATTCAGTTGAACATCTACTTATGTATTTACTTATCTTTTGAATATTCCTTTCAGGTGAAATGCCTGTTATTTTCTGTTCACTTTTAATTGGATGGCCTGTCTTTTTCTTACCAATTTGTAGAAATTCCTTATAGATTTTAGATGTAAGCTCTTTCGTTTGTTGTATATGCATATTGTAAATATCATCTCCAACTTTCTGTCTTGTTTTTCATTGTTTTGAAACAATGTCTTTCAGTGAAAGGAAATTATGAATTTACTTCTAATATACAACAATTTGTTAATCTTTTCCTTTATGGTTAGTACTTTTGCATTTTGCTTACGGAATCTCCCCTATCCCAAAGCATGGGAACTTCATTATTTTCTAGATTTTGACTAATAACATGTCCAGAATTTATTTTTGCTGAGGTTATAGTGTAGTGATCCAGCTGTTTTTCTTAAGAAGGATATCCAATTGTCCTAACATTACTTATTGGGAATAAAAACTTTCTATATTATTTTGCAATTCCACTTTTACATCCAATCAACTGTGTCTAATGTGTGGCTCTATTTCTACGTGCTGTATTCTGTTCCAAGGACCTGTTTGTTTACTCTTATATGAGCAACTTACCATCTTAATTACTGTAGGTCTCTTAAAAGTTTTAATTATTCCTCATCTTGTACTTTCCAAGACTGTCTTGTCTATTTCAAAAGTTTTGCATCTACATATAAGTTTTAGAGTTAGTTTCTCTTTTATACACACAGACAAAACATGAAATTTTGATGAGAACTCTACTGAACATATAAGTAAATTGAAGTGGCATTTTACATCTTTGCAGTACGGATTCTCCAATCTATAAGCCAAATATTTAGGTAGATTTTCATGCAACTTCCTGCTTCTCCTTAGCTTTTATTGTTGTAGTACTACCTACTTCTAAGCTTCTCTAATCCACTATTGTATAAACTGTTCCTTAGCTTTTATTCTTGTAGTACTACCTACTTCTAAACTCTAATCCGCCATTGTATAAACTGTTTGCTGACTTTTTCCTGTCAGTAAGATTTTGAAATTCCTGGGTCTACAGAATCTGTTTAAATTAATTTTTTTGCTCTCCAGTATGTCAGAAAATGTCAACAACCTTTTTCTAGCTTAATGAAGAAAATGCGTAAGTATTTCTGTCTTCCAGAAAATTGTCAAGGACAAAATTACAGCGAATTTAGTTGCAGATCTAATTGGATTTCATTTGTTATTCATGATTCAGGGTAGCTTCAGTTCTCCAAAATAGAAAGTGAGCTCCCACCTGGCAATGGCAGAATTGTGGGTTTTTTTTTTTTTTTTTAAGGTAAAAATGAGGAAACAGAACAAAAACCTGGTTAACGTCAGGTTATTTTAGGTTTATTTTTTCTAAACATGAAAAGCTTTTTATTCTGACTTTGGCAGGCTGGTAGACTGAACTTGTGAAAAATCAGTCTACTTTGAGGTCTGTTTTCTTAGAATTGCAAACATATCAGTATTTTCCTGATAGTAAATGGGCTTTGATAACTGCTAAATATTTCCCTACAATGAATCAGGATATTATCCTTTGGCATACTTCACATCACTCATGATTACATTTATAGTTTAATATTCTAGGATAACTTCCTATCATAAAATCATTAACTCATATACATATATAACTTTTGCCATATTCGGTTATATATTCACATGATCCAAAAATTACAACATGGACCTCACAGAAGGCCAATATTCAGTTTCCCAAAGTGATCAAAGCCATAATCCTGTTAACTCATGATCTTTGAATGTGGACTGCTTTTTTTTATTATTTAGGCTGCCATAGCATAGATGTTCCTCTACCTGTGCACCTCAGCCTCACGTAAGAGGCCTGTCCTGGCTTCTCAAAGTGTAATTGTATCAGCACCTATGACGTCACAAAACGTCAGGTTTTAATGTGGCATTTTCAGATGTGCACAAAACATGTTGTGATCCTATCCTTTTCCTGTTCTCCTTTCTTACCCCTTCTCTTTATTTCCTTCTCGTTATCTAATAATCTCTCTTCTACTTGCATGCCATTGCTTATCTTGTTTAGACTCTATATAGCAAAGAGAGTACAAGGTATTCATTTGTCTAAATCCAGTTTGTTTTGCTTACTATGATAATCTCCAGCTCTATCCACTTTCTGGCAAACAACACACAGGAAATTCTATCATTTCAACCCTCCTTATGGCTGAATAACACTTCGTTGTGTATAGATATCATATTTTCCGTATCCATTCATCTGTTCACGGGATCTACGTTGGTTCCATATCTTGGATTTCATGAACTGTGCCCTAACGCACACGGGTTTGCAGGCTTCCCCTTAGTGTGCTGACTAATTCCCTTAGACGTACACCGAGGAGGTATAGGTGAGTCATATTTAGTTTTTTTGAGGCAGCTCTATACTTATTCTCATAATGATTATATTAATTTATATTCCAGCTAGTGTTCTTTCCCTCCTCCCTTCCTCACCAGTTCTTATTGGTTTGGCTTGGTTTTGCTTTTGTATTCTTGGTTATTCTGACTAAGATGAGATGGAATATCAGTGTAGTTTTGATTCTCATTTTCCTAAGGGCTGAAGATGTTGAACATTTTCCCCTATACTTACCAGCCATTTGTATTACTTCTTTTGAAAGGTAACTGTTCATTTATTGCTTGGGATATTTGTTTTCTTGGTGGTGTTCTGCGTTCTTTATTCTTTTTTGAGTTCTTTACATATTCTAGATATTAATCTTCTGTTGGAAGAGTAGCTTGCAAAGCTTTTTTCCATTCTGTAGGCTGTCTCCTCACTCTGCTGGTTGTTTGTTTTACTGTTGCTATTATCTCTTGAGGTATTAGAGTCCAACTTGGACTTCGCCTGTGCCTGTGCCTTCAATGTTTTTAAGTTAGTCACATTGGTACACTTTAGATGTACATAATGACCACATTCATCATAAGGAATTTGTAAAAACATATCTTGAGTCTTTTTTCCCCAATTCTCCCCCTTCCCTTTGTCTCCCTCTTCCC